TCAGTAAAGCCGGTTCTGTGATCAGTAGTAAATCTCCATCACCTGCTTTCAGATGGAGCAGCATTTACTACACAGAGCCGTAGTTCACTGACAATTAGGCAATATCGCATTCATTATCGCAGATCGAATCGCCTGCGATAATGAATGCGATATTGCATAGCTTGTCAGTGAACTACGGCTGTGTAGTAAATGCTGCTCCATCTGATAGCAGGTGATGGAGATTTACTACTGATCACAGAACCGGCTTTACTGATGATACGCATGACAATCACATGCGATTAATTGCACAGCCCTAGCCAACAGGTTTAGAAACGCTTCTCATTGCACAAGGGACGTTTAGCTTTATGCGTTTTAATTTAAGCACATTTAATGTAGCTCGTTAACGGTAAGTTACTGCATTCACACATTCATTGTACTTTTAAGTTGGAATGTGAAAGCAACATGAACACTAGTGTTACTACAAAGATGTGTTGGATTTGTATCATCAGAGCTTTCTGACTTGCGTTCACGAGAGTCAGAAAATTATTTTTCTGATTATTCTAACACCACATAAATTCAGTATTATTTAACTAGCGATCGCATGCAGTGATGACGCTTCTTTCGTCCAATTCGATCTGCGATAATGAATGCGATATTGCCTAATTGTCAGTGAACTACGGCTCTGTGTAGTAAATGCTGCTCCATCTGATAGCAGGTGATGGAGATTTACTACTGATCACAGAACCGGCTTTACTGATGATACGCATGACAATCACATGCGATTAATTGCACAGCCCTAGCCAACAGGTTTAGAAACGCTTCTCATTGCACAAGGGACGTTTAGCTTTATGCGTTTTAATTTAAGCACATTTAATGTAGCTCGTTAACGGTAAGTTACTGCATTCACACATTCATTGTACTTTTAAGTTGGAATGTGAAAGCAACATGAACACTAGCGTTACAACAAAGATGTGTTGGATTTGTATCATCAGAGCTTTCCGATTTGCGTTCACGAGAGTCAGAAAATTATTTTTCTGATTATTCTAACACCACATAAATTCAGTATTATTTAACTAGCATGCGGTGATGACGCTTCTTTCATCCGTTTCGGAGCACCAGTCAGTAAAGCCGGTTCTGTGATCAGTAGTAAATCTCCATCACCTGCTATCAGATGGAGCAGCATTTACTACACAGCCGTAGTTCACTGACAAGCTATGCAATATCGCATTCATTATCGCAGGCGATTCGATCTGCGATAATGAATGCGATATTGCCTAATTGTCAGTGAACTACGGCTCTGTGTAGTAAATGCTGCTCCATCTGATAGCAGGTGATGGAGATTTACTACTGATCACAGAACCGGCTTTACTGATGATACGCATGACAATCACATGCGATTAATTGCACAGCCCTAGCCAACAGGTTTAGAAACGCTTCTCATTGCACAAGGGACGTTTAGCTTTATGCGTTTTAATTTAAGCACATTTAATGTAGCTCGTTAACGGTAAGTTACTGCATTCACACATTCATTGTACTTTTAAGTTGGAATGTGAAAGCAACATGAACACTAGTGTTACTACAAAGATGTGTTGGATTTGTATCATCAGAGCTTTCTGACTTGCGTTCACGAGAGTCAGAAAATTATTTTTCTGATTATTCTAACACCACATAAATTCAGTATTATTTAACTAGCGATCGCATGCAGTGATGACGCTTCTTTCGTCCATTTCGGAGCACCAGAGGGCAAATATTTCAATCGACAGCTCAGGCATTTAAGTGGCACCGAAATCTGCATTCTGATTCGGTCATAAAGGTACCAGCACCGGGTTTCGGCACCCAACCCTAGGCATAATAATGTGCACCAAATATCGGGCAAAAATGATAAATACTTTTTAGACTTAAATCTAATCTTTTAAACAAACAAATGAATTAAGAAAAAAAGCAAGCAAGCGAAAATCTTTATAAGTACCATTTCTCTCACTTTGGTACGATACTGAAGTTACTTTTTGGTACTGCTAAAAGAAGGTATTTTAGAAGGCAGCAAAATGATGAACACCCACGATGCTTTAAAATGCTCTGGGTTTTGTAACAGAGCTCAAGGTTTTTTGGGTAATCTGTTGCTTACCCACACGTCCATGTGCAGAGGTTTGATATTGTGAAGCAGAACTTCTTCGCAGTTGCCGTAGTCGCTGAACACAACCACAGCCGTGGAGCCAGACGGGTGGATGGCGTCGATTCTCGCCTGATAAAACTGCCACCAATACACAAAGATGTTTTACAAGAACACAAAAGGGAAAAATGCAATAAAAGCATACAGAGTGTAATTTGGTTCTGGAAGACTCGTAAAGACTACTCATTTTCAGAAAGGTCATGTTCAGCAGGGCAGCGCTGCAACCTTTGATGCAACAGTAGATCTAAATATAACGCTACAATCGACACTTTTCACCATTATTTAATCTTGTGACAGCAAAAACACATTCCAGAGCTCCACATGTAATGCTCATTTCATATGCAAAGATGCTAGCCAATCACAGCAGAGGGCGTTTACATTGTTGGAAGGGGTGTGTCTTCTGTGAGTCTTCAGAGTTCAAATCAGAGGTTGAATTCAGGGTAGAAAATGAAAATTTTTATCTAAATGATGACGTTTTTGATAAATACTATACTAAGATTACAAAGACTATATGTGCACCTCAGGAAACATTATAAAATAATAAAAAAAAAATGCATTTGATGACCCCCTTTAAAATAATCATGTTTATAAGCATAATTCCTGGTGAAAAACTACATTTATCCATGATGCTATACAGAAAAGTCTGTCTCCAAACGATTTAAATAAATAAACACACACATACATACACACACATATATATTATATATATATATATATATATATATATATATATGCATGCATATTTGGCAATAAACTTCAAATATATTGTTTCTATTGAAAGATTACCAGTTTAAAAGGAATAGTTTTATATCTCATCATTGTTTTTAAATCGACTGCCATTCACAAAACACAATCTTTGCATTGTTGTTTAATTAAAAAAAAATTTTTTTTGTTGTGATTCACCTTGTAGTTGGTTGGTTTGGTTCACAGCTTGCAACACTTTAACCAGGACTTTCCCTATGAGAAAAAATGAATAGAAACATGCTTCCAGAACCAACGCCACTCAAAAGTAATCCAAAAGACTCACCTTATTGTCTTCCCAGTAGAGCGCTAGACACTGGTCACCAGCTCTCCAGATTATGTGATTATTTGTGTCCGTCGGCTCTCTCTGACCTTTGATTGGTCCAGATCGTTTCTTGGGGGCGGAGTTATGCGTGTTGGTTTGTTTCTGAGGCGGTGCTGAAGACTGCGGCTTGATTGGACCGGTCCGTCTGTGTTCTAAATCACCATTAGGGAGCTGCGCGTTTGAAACCCCGCCCACTTTGATGCACTGACTGGATCCGGCATCCTGCGAAAAGTCTTTTTTCATTGCATCTTGCGAACGCTCAAAGTAGCCTGATTTGGGTCTTTCTGGCTTGCTTTTCCTTCTGTTGTTGGGTTCGTTTCTAGCTTTAGGATCCGAGCCTGACGCAGCAGGATTTGAGGATTTGGGTGCCGCGGGTCCGTTTGATTGGTTTTTCCTAAAAGAAGCCAGTCCTGTCCCATCCTGCTCTTTACATCCGCCGTTATGTGGTTCCTGCTGAAAGCTTTTCGACCCGTTATGTTCCTTTCCAGAGAGACCCTGCTGTTCCCTGGGCTTCCCCATAGAGGTGTACGTATTTCTAGCATCTTGAGCATCATTCTTCCATCGGTCTGATCCTCCTCTTCCCGTTCTCTCTCCGTCCCTCCATTTCTGCGGCTGGGAAACACTGAAAGAGGCCGTGCTGGGTTTAGGAAAGTCTCCATCCTTCTGGAAACGTGGAGGCCTGTCGTTTCTCTGCGAGCGTCCCTCGTTTCGGGGAGGGTGTTTGGACTGGGCGGCATCTCTGAACATTTGATCAGTGCTGGGGAAAGTCATCTTATATTGGTGCTCTTGTAGTGAAGGCTGGTTCTTTGAGTCTACAGGGTTAATTATAAGAAAAACAGTAAGGCAACTGGTTAAAAATTGTAAATGAATGAGTGGTGCGGTTTCATCTACTACATATAATCAAAGCAACAGTAATAATAATAATATTATTATAAAAAACATTTTTAAGGAATATCTCACAATTTTGTGTTTACATTTTAAATTTTAAACACTTTTTTGTTTTACATTTTGTAAAAAATTTTAATAAATTATTCAACTCTTAAAGGTTTTAAGAATTCAATTGATTAGAAATGCTTTTTTCCAATTAAAATGTAAATACACCGTTAAAATGTAATACAGAAAACACAGAATTTGGGAAAAAAAATTAATAAATTTCATTAAAATAACTTGTACTTTGAATTAGGGCTGCAATTATCACGATAATTTTTTCCATATCAGTCGATATTGATAATTATCACGATAAATGTCAAGTTTAAAGCCAGACTTTTGCTCCAAAGTGAAAGTTGTAGACACCAGACCATTAATTTTCCTTAAAATAAATATCTAAATAAAAACAAAAAACTTAAATCAGAAATGTTGCCGTGGCAACTAAAATAAGCTTAAATATGAAGTACTAAAATTCTATAACTAAAATAATAAGAAATTAAAGCTAACCATAATAATAATAATAACAACAATAACAACAACAACAACAACAATATAAAATACATTATTAATAATAATAATAATGTATAAAAATACTAAAATAAAAAAATTAATTAATAAAATAAACAAAATAAACTAATTAAAAATATTAATAAATACTAAAATAGTATATAAATCATTCTAAAATAGCACTGTTACTATTTGAAAGGACAAAATAGGCCTTGATACTATCAGCTTCCAAAATTGGCCAATTCAGATATCAAATTTAAAGAAGCACTAATATTGTCAGCATTTTTCAATGCTCCATTAAAACAAATAAAGGTAAAACAAATTCAGTATACCGTCAATGGACAATGTCCCCATTTTTGACTCCAGGAAGTCAAACAGTGTGCTGGGCCCAGATGGTCTTCCTCCTGCTTCTTCATCCTCATCTTGTCTGGAGCGTCCTCTTCCACGACCCTTTCCTGTCAGTGAACAAATAAACTGTCAAACTAAAAGGACATTGAGTTAAAGACAGCAATGAAAATACGGTTTTATTTTCCTTGTACTCAAAAACCAACAACACTAATAACAATAACATCAATCTGGGATTACAGTCTGGATTGTCATTAAAGAAACAGTTCATCCGATATAAACATTTTCTGAAAGTTAGTTTAAAAACCAACAACACTAATAACAATAACATCAATCTGGGATTACAGTCTGGATTGTCATTAAAGAAACAGTTCATCCGAAATGAACATTTTCTGAAAGTTAGTTTACATCACTGTCTCAGCAATGGATCCTCTGCAGTGCATGGGTGCTGTCAGAATGAGCTGATAAAAACATCACAATAATCCACAAGTAATCCACACCACTCCAGTCCATCAGTTAATGTCTTGAGAAGAGAAAAGCTGCGTGTTTGTAAGAAACAAATCCATCAAGATGTTTTTAACTTCATACGTTGATTCCGGCTAAAATGCAAGTCCTTTATGCATGAGATGACTTTCTCTAGTGAAAACGTCATCTGGTCTGAATCAGCAGAGAAATCTGCACAGATCAAACTCTGTTTACAAACAAAACCAGCCCAAAACAGTTCAAAACAAATATGTTGGTGGAACACGCAGGTTTTCTCTTCTCAAAACATTAACTGATGGACTGGAGTGCTGTGGATTACTTGGATGTTTTTATCAACACAGTGTTTCTCCTGTTTGGCTTTAAACTAGTTTAACTCGCCGAGTCGTGTGTTCATCGCTGAATTCAAGCGCTTCACACTGGATCTCACAGCGCTGCTTAATGCTCGTGTGACCGAGTAAACACATGGAGGAATATCCGGTAATGTCCACTTCGCAGGGCACTTACAGTCAAATATAACAAACGTATGAAGCAATAAGAGAAACATACAAAATGTCCAGAGCGGGGGTAGGCGAGGACTGGAATTGAGAACCGCTTTTCTAGACATGCCAAAAATTTGAGGCTACAGCACAGCAGCTCTTCTTCTTGGTTTTCTCTGATGCACTAACTCTGCAGCAGCACTTCTTCTTCGTCGTCTCGTCTGATGCACTCACTCAACCAAGTGTTCTAACCACGACCTCGCCCCTTCCCACCATTCACATTTCTGTAGGCGGGAATTCTTTGTAATGATATTCTAATGAGCCGCTTTGTGATATCACAAAGCCCGGAAAACAAACGCTGTAGTCCAAACGAGCCGTTTGCTGTAGTTCTTGAAAAGGGATTTTTTAAAAACTAAATATCTCCCTTTGGAGTGGACTTTGAGATTTGTAACTTTCTAGATCTTTTTTTATGCCCAAACATACACACTACACACTGACTAAAATTTAAAAAGTGAAAAAGCGGAAGAAGACAAACGTTTCTCCACATATTAGCCCTGTCCGTTTTCTCCTAAAGCCATATGTCAGGCAGAGCTTACAAGCCGCAGAGACTTATCTAAAGCTGACTAATAGAGCGCCTTCATTTGGGACTGGCCATCTGTTTGACGCCGCACAGTTCTGCAGCCCACTGGGACTTCAACATAAGAGGAGATTAAAAATCCTGATACAATGTTCCCATTATTAGGATTGGCTTTGTTGCAAATGCAGTAGGAATAAATGCTTTAAAGTGATCATTTATAGTCATTATTGCAAAATAAACTCTGATCATAACCTCAAAATGAAGCAGGGTCTTTTATCATGCCAAAGGGTTTATTCTGGAAGCTAACCATACATTATCCCACTTTTAATACAGATGCTTACTAAATAAATAAATAAATGTACATGAGTTGCAAAATGATAAAAATATTATCATGTGAAGTAGGAATCATGCAGATATAAAGTGTTTAGTACTTCAGTAAGTTGGCACAGAATTCTTTTTTATTGTTAGGGTTAAACTATATATAATAAAAAAAATGAAATAAAAAAAGTGTTGTTTAAAAATAGCTGAAATCAAATAAAATATAAACACCAGATGAACCTTAAACTAAAAAAAAAAAAAACTTAAATCAGAAATGTTGCCGTGGCAACTAAAATAAGCTTAAATATGAAGTACTAAAATTCTATAACTAAAATAATAAGAAATTAAAGCGCGCGGCCGGCGTATTCGACGAAGGAGCCTGTGCAACACAACCCCAATTTGACATTTCATGAAGAAAATACAATATGAGTGGCACATGTCTATGTAAGATTCATCATGATGATGCATAAGATTTTTATGGCCTGTTTTATCATCCAGTGTGATTGCTTAGTAAAGTAACAACACATTAAATCTAGTAATGACACATTTTAAACAGACTCATTGGTTTTGGAAAGTCGGTGGACGACCAACAAGTGATCAAAGCACAGCTGTTTTGTTCTCAGTGAGGACTGCCGGAAAACAGCTGCAGATTTGACTGAACTAGATGTTGGATCTGAAGTTATGATAACTGCGTTCAGTCTATTTGGATCTTCTCCCGTGTTTCACAGCATTAACAGTTCATTTCATGAGGAAGAACTTCCTACTTAAAAACTGCTGACAAATCAGCAATTTTACATCTATTTATGATGATCTTTGGATCTCACCAAATCTCTGTAAACTCCTTCGGACTTGTTCTCCATCCATGGCTCTCTCTCTTCTCGTCTCCTTTGATAGGTGTCTCGGTTCTTGTAGGTGGATCCTGGATTGGCGAGGTTTCCGCCTGCATTGCCGCCACCGCCGAACGTACGCGTCTTTCACAAACAAAGAGAAGACAACAGATGCACAATGAAAAAACATAAGACACTGGTGCATCTCCAGCATTTTTAGATCAGATTTCTTCTATTAATTTAATAACACAACTATAGAACAACGAACAGCATTTCTGGACATCAGAAGTGTGCTTTAAAAGTTCAAATCAAACTGAGTTTTGAAACACAGCGCAGGTGCTGCCGAGGCAAAGTGTTTAATCATTTATGTGGTGTTCACTTATCACATTACATTTGTAATTACACACTCAAAATCAAACATTTCTTAATTAAATATTGGAGAATATTAAGTTCACCCATGGCCTAAGGACATAGTCATGAGAATGAACAAATTCAATTACACATTGCTTTAATATATCAATATTTCATTACCAAAAGGTGCTACTTTGTTGCAGGGGATAAAAATCATATGTATTCTGAATTGAAATTCCAATATGTGACCCTGGAGCACAAAACCAGTCATAAGTCGCTGGGGTATATTTGTAGCAATAGCCAACAATACATTGTATGGGTCAAAATTATAGATTTTTCTTTTATGCCAAAAATCATTAGGATATTAAGTAAAGATCATGTTCCATGAAGATGTTTTGTAAATTTCCTACCGTAAATATATCAAAACTTAATTTTTGATTAGTAATATGCATTGCTAAGAACTTCATTTGGAGGCGATTTTCTCAATATTTTTATTTTTTTTGCATCCTCAGATTCCAGATTTTCATAGTAGTTGTATCTCAACCAAATATTGTCCTATCATAACAAACCATACATCAATGGAAAGCTTATTTATTCAGCTTTCAGATGATGTATAAATCTCAATTTCGAGAAATTGACCCTTATGACTGGTTTTGTGCTCCAGGGTCACATATCTTTGTACAATACAAAAACACTACAATCTGAGGGTTATATGTACATAACCGGTCAAAAGTTTGGAATAATTAGGATTTTTAAATGTTTCAGAAATAAGCGTCTTCTACTCATGTCTGTATTTGCTTTTTTTTTTTAAATTAAAAAAATACAGAAACAACAGTAATATTGTGAAATATTAATGCAATTTAAAAGTTTTCTATTTGAATACACTTTAAAAAAAATTTTTTTTTTTACAGCATTGATAATAATGCTTGAAATGTTTGTTGAGCAACAAATCAGCATTTTAGAATGATTTCTGAAGAATTATGTGACACTGAAGACTGGAGTAATGATGCTGAAAATTCATCTTTGATCAGAAATAGAAATAGAAAAAGTTATTTTAAATGGCAATAATATTTTTAACATTTTCGGTATTTTTGATCAAATAAAATGTAGCCTCGGAGAGCAAAAGAGGCTTCGTTAAAAATCTAATAAAATGTAAAAAAAAATCCAAACAGTGCTGTATGTTCATTTCGCAAGAACAACATCAAACACACCTCTTTACTCCTGGCGACCTCTGCGATAGCAGCGATTCTTTGTTTCTCAAACTCATCGTTGTCGTCAGCAGATTTGACAGCGTTGGTGCTCTGCAGGGTCTTCCTCTGGTCCAGAGCTCTGCTGTCCACCTGCTCCTTATGAGCACATTTCTACAGAGAGATGCCAGCAGCTTAGACACCATCCATCCATTTACAATCAAATCAACCTCATAAATAACCAGAAGGTCAAAGGTCACAATGAAAGAAGCTGAAGGAGTCCTGACCTGTCCAAAGGGAACGAATGGAGGAGGTCCACCTTCTGCGCCAATGTTTCTTCGGCTGTGTTTGGCGAGGCTCTTTTGTGAGAAAAAGAGTTAAACGTTTCATTAGATATGTGAATGTAGTGTAACAGTCCTGTTTTAGTATCAGTGAGATACTATTATAGTTTATATTAATATTTAGAATTTTATTTCCAATTTTAAATTGTAGTTAAAGTTTTAGTAATTTTGTTGTGTCATTTTGAATAAAAATGTCTGTATAGTTTTCTTTTTTAATTTCCATTTTAGTTACTGCAGTAAATCACGTTATTCAAAAATTTAATTAAAATGAGAAATGCTGCCTTGCATAAAATAACCTTTTTATTTGTTAACATTTATTTTATTTCAAGTTCCAAAATACATTTTCATGGTTTTCAGTTTTAGTTAACTATAATAACCCTGCTCCATAAGGGAGAATAATCTTTGGACAAGTTATTTACTCATCAAGATGAATAAAGCAATGAATCTTCATGCTATCTGGCTTTGATTGATAATTAAAATAAATCATCTGTTGCCAATGTGCCATCCATCAGTGAGCTAGAACATGATGAATATTAACAGATGGTTACAGTCACTCCTGTGACATTGTGACTTGTTTCTTAAGTTTTAATGAATAGAACTTTTAAAGGAGTCACATTTTACACTTTTGCATCTCAATTTTTTCCCCAGAGCCCACTTATAATGAAGGTTTCCTGCGTCATAAATTAGTGTAGTTTCATGTTTTACACCAACACTGACACTCAGAATTAAACAGACCGCTTGTGCTACGGCATATTAAAGAATTCTGAACCTCACCCTCTGCAACTCCCACTTCTCGATCATGTGATCCACTTCACCTCCGAGAACCGTGATCTTGGAATCGTCCAATAGCAGGATGCCGTTTTTAACCTGAACGTCCTCCAGGAGCTTCACTTTGGTTCCAGGAGGAGTGTTCAGACTGAAAGTGGAGCAGAAATCAAATTAAAGGGTTAAATCAATTGCTTTCTTTTAAATAAACAGTGAAACCCTGAAAACGTTTGAGTCGGCAAGGTTTTTGTTTTATGTGAAAGAAGTCTCTTCTGCTCACCAAGGTTGTATTTGTTTGATCAAAAATACAGTCAAATTGTGAAATATTACTACAAGTTTTCTATTTGAATATCTGTTAAAATGTAATGTATGTCTGTGATGCGCAGTTGAATTTTCAGCATCATTACTCCAGTCTTCAGCGTCACATGATCCTTCAGAAATCATTCTAATATTTGCTGCTCAAGAAACATTTCTGATTATCATCAATGTTGAAAACACTGACACATTTTTTTTAATATTCTTTGATGAACAGAAAGTTCAAAAGAACAGCATTTCTTTGAAATAGACATATTTTGTAACATAACATGTCTTTACTATAATTTGTAATCAATTCATTGCATCCCAAATAAAAGTAATACACATCTTATTGACCCCAAACTTCAGAACAGTAGTGTAAAAATAATGAAAGAAAAAAAATGGCTATTATATTTTAAATAAAGACAATGTCTATTTTTTTAAATATTAAGATTTGATCACATTTTTAGCAGTTTAACAACAATGAAGAACAAAAATGTACTGCATTATATATATATAGTTACTTTTGATCATGAAACAAGTTATGACAACCACTGCACTGTGTAAATTAATATATTTAGGGATGCACCGAAATGAAAATTCTTGGCCGTAGCCAAACAAAATGAAACATTGGGCCGAAGGCCGAATACGGTTTTTCACATTTTGTTCCCATGTAGGCCTATTTTGCCATTGTTTTTTCACCATTGCATTAATTGCCAAAATCAGCTTTTTACTGTTTTGTCCTGCTTTTCAAATAAAAAAATCAAAGAAAAATTTCTTAACACAGAACACTTTTTTTTTCATTGTAGCAGACATTAAACCAACAAAGCACAATTTAACTTAAAATTAATAAGTTGCTGAGCAGATAAGACTTTTTAAAACATTAGAATATATTACAGATGCCAATTTGAACACTGTGTGAATGTTATAATAAATGTATTAATAGAGCTGTTGTAGGGTAATTATTATTATCATTATTGTCTTACTTTTTTATTTTATTTTACAGAACGACAGTAAAATTACAATACTGTCATTTATGAATGTCGATGGAGTTGTTGCTTTTTCTCTGCTTTTATTTTGGCAGAAACCCGCAGGAAGATCTCAGTGCTTCTTTTTGTTGACAACAGCATGCAGATTTATAAATGATTCTCATTACGAATTTGGGAAGATGTTTGTCGCACGTATCACATTGTCACATGCCTTTAAAAAAAGTTACAAAAATGTTACTGAGCGACTGACCAGTAACACGGTTTTAGCACAGATTTTCCTTGTGCTTTGGACTTTGAAGCCTGGCGCCGCGAGCTCGTGCAGCGCTGTCAGAATAAATGCAATTTGTGCGTGCATTAGAAAATATAACATTCTGCAGTTGATTTATTAATCGTTTAAAGGTAATTTTGCGATTTCAATCATCATACAGTAACCTAACCACCAGCATTAGCCACCTCTTCTTCTCATCAGAGACGTGATGCAGCACTAAACAGTCTCTCACTGTCAGTGCTTCGTGCTTGTAATGATTTCTGCGTTTCTCTGATAGTTTTAAATACGTTCACACTGCCGACATGTTTGCTGCATTAGTGCATGCCTCTATTTGATCGCGTTAGTCATTGTTCGGTACATATTATTCGGACTTTTCGCTTATTCGGTCGAACAACAAAAGAGATTTGTTTGCTATTTTCGGCCGAATAATTTCGGTTGCCGAATATTTGGTGCATCCCTGAATATATTACAACAGCAAATAGAAATTTTATAACTCTTTTTTTTTTTTTTACAAATATTTGGAGTTTAATTGTAATAAAGATGTTGTCAAAGTCTTAATATTCTTAAAATAAGCATAATTTTCTTCACACAAATTTTATTTCTGAATCCCTTTTAATTATGTGGTATATTGTAACCCAGTGATTTCTTGAGAGCGTTTTCCAGAGATTCACCCAAAAAAAGAAATCGGTTTTCCTTATATGGCATCTGCAATAACTCTCCAAGAAAAAAGAAGAAAAAAAAAGGGAGTGAGAGAATTTAAAATTCATAATTGCCCTTCTCTGCTTTATTTGCTTCTATTTCCTGGTTGTCAATCAGGTTTTTTCTCTCCGATGTGTTTCAGCTTTAGTTAGTGAGAGGCATTTGCTGTAAGTTGGGATTAAGAACTGGCTGTTTGACTTTAATTAAAGCTTAAAGGGGGGAGAAGGGATGGATTGAGAGAGAGAGGAAGAAACTATTTTCCCTCACAAACACTCTAATACCCAGAGGAAAGAAGTGGAGCTGTGAATTTTCCAAAACGCAGGCTTATTTCCTCAAATGTGTCCCCTTGCCTGCACCCTGATCAAATGTTAATGCACCGCTCTGCACTGCAGAAGCAGCTCCTGCTAAAAATACATCACACGCACACCTCCCCGCTCTCCTACACGCCAAATAAACTCGCCCTCAAGCACACACGTGGAGTCGATCTTTCCCTGGTCCTCTAATTAGGAGAGTCCGGGAGTTTGACAGCACTCAATGCGTGACCAGCGCAATTACACTTTCCTGACCGGTTCATCGACACGAAGCTCAAAGCGATGTAGGATTCGATACGAATGCTCTCGTTTGTTCCAGTACAATGCTTCTGTTCTTTCAAACAATCTCACTTTCATTTGAAGGGGAAATAATTATTTGAAATGAGTGACACTAAACTGAATTGTAAAAATAACTCCGTCTCATTGTTGTAATGTAAATAACCAAAGTCAAACTACAGTTTATATACACGTGTTGAAATAATGGGACGTCCTTTCTGTGCAAGTGAATGAAGAAAGCTTTGGTTTTATTTGCATGCACTTCTTTTTAAATACACTGAATGAAACACTGAAAAGTTTAGGGTCGGTAAGGTTTTAAAATATTTGAGTCTCTTCTGCTCACCAAAGCTGTATTTGATCAAAAATACTGTAATTGTGAAATATTATTACAATTTAAAATAACTGTTTTCTAAGTGAATATATTGTAAAATGTAATTTATTCCTGTGATTAAAGCTGAATTTTCAGCATCATTACTCCAGTCTTCAGAAAGCATTCTAATATGCTGATTTGATGCTCAAGAAACATTTCTGATTATTATCAATGTTAAAAACAATTGTTCTGCTTAATATTCTTTGATGAATAGAAAGTAAAAAAAAAAAAACTGCATTTATTTGAAATCAAAATCTTGTTTTGTGAAATAATTCAAATTTGACACCAAACCGAACTGTAAAAACAACTCAGTCTTATTCATAATGTACATAACCAAAGTCAAACCACGGTTTATAAGTGTGCAAAGCCTTCGTACACACTTTAAAATAATGCATGTCTGTTCTGTGCTTGAATAAAGGAAGCTTTGGGTTCAAATGAACAGTGGATAGTTTCATTCTGCATGTTAGCGACAGGGATGGATGAAGGAGAGAGTGAGCCAAAGAACAGATGAATAAAGAGGACTCTGTTCTTCAAACGGCTCGACAACACAGTCTCCACCTGTAGGTAATGGAGACATGGGATTGGTGAGGTTTAAGCCAATCAAAAGGTCTGAAACTGGGGTTAAAGGAAGGAGAGTACAAGAAAAGGGCAGAAAAGGTCGTTTGAGTTTGAAGCGGCTTTACAAGATTGCACAGTGTCAGATTTCATGGAGTAAAAGAAACAAGAAGATACCATTTCGGTCTTTTCTACTTCGAAATGTCAAGTTTAACTCAATGTGTTATTTGCAATTTGTTTATAACAGTTTACTAGCAATTTCAAAGTAAACCTTACACCACTTTTTTTTTTGTGTAACACAGAGCTGTTATTTTAGAGAAATATTTCACCCACAAATTTAAAAGTGCTGATAATGTACTCACTCTCAGGCGATCCGAGATGTAGAGGAGTTTGTTTCCTTATCAGAACAGATTTGGAGAAATGTAGCATTGCATCACTTGCGCAGCAATGGATCCTCTGCAGTGAATGGGTGCCGTCAGAATGAGAGTCCAAACAGCTGATAAAAACATCACAATAATCCACAGCACTCCAGTCCATCAGTTCATGTCTTGTGAAGGCAAAAGCTGCGTGTTTGTAAAAAACAAATCCATTATTAAGATGTTTTTAACTTCAAACCAGCTAAAATATGAGTCCTCTATTTATAACATTGCTTACTTCGGTCAAAAAGTCATATACAAGCCAAAACAGCTCTAAACAAATATGTGGCTGGATTTTGATGTGAGAGACAACAGGAGATGGACTTTTTCACTGGAGGACAAGTTATTATGGACTCATATTTTGGCCTGAAAATAATGGTTTGAGGTTTAAAAACATATTAATGATGAATTTGTTTCTTACAAACACGCATATTTCAGCTTCATAAGACATTAACTGATGGACTGGAGTGGTGTGGATTACTGTGATGTTTTTATCAGCTGTTTGGACTCTCATTCTGACGGCACCCATTCACTGCAGAGGATCCATTGGTGAGCAAGTGATGCAATGCTACATTTCTCCAAATCTGATGAAGAAACAAACTCATCTACATCTTGGATGGCTTGAGGGTGAAAACATTTTTAGCTAATTTTCATTTTTGTGTGAACTGTTCCTTTAAGCATCACGGTAATTTTTGCTCATATTAAGGCTAATGATTTAAACAAACCCTTCACATTAAGTATTACAATTAAGAGTGTATTTTGTCACGCATTTGTACCTTCCCAATTTAAAGCTTTGTATACACTATTTAATTATAAAATTACATAAAAGTTGTTTTAAGCAGTTAAGACACGTTCAGTAAAAAACGTATAGTAACGCATGAATCAATGCAACAATAGAGACACATTCTTGGCATGCAACCTGAACCTTACTTGCACAAAGACGCTGTTTTTCCGCATTTCTAAATGACATTGATGTTTTAGGTTCCTGGAGTGAAAGAGAAAATGAACCTGAAGTAACCTAAAAAGCAGCGCAATAACATGACCTTGAATGACTCTGTGAACATCAATTCATAATGAAAAAAAAAAAAACCTTTTATGCGGCTCCCCACTACATCAAAACGTCTTTAGTCTGGCTCAAGGCAATTACAGGACCTCTTTATCATATTAAGAGCTACGTTTAATCAAATGGCGGGTTTTTGGCCTCATTATGGGCCACTTCACTGTGTCTGACGGGCCGAGACATTATTTCATTAAATCATACGGCCCAATTAGACGTGCTTCAATTAAATATCTGAGGTACTAGATTTTACAGCCACTCATTCATAAAGGTGAGTGAGGGAAGTTTAAAACCGCAGTCACTTGCCAAAACTTTACGTTTACGCTTTAATGTCATGTTTGACAGCAATAAGTTTGAATAAATTAGCCAAAATCTCTAATAAGGTGGAGGGAACTTTCTACAGATCACTGCGGGCACAGATTCCACATCACTCATACTATTTCTGATGTAGTGTGCATAGTAAGCATACTTCATGAATACATGCAAATCCCACATGCATCTGCCATGTGTACTATAACCACATGAAATTCTGTAGCCCACAATGCAATGCTCTTGAGTTGACATTGCATTATGAATGTGAGATGAATGAAACAAAGGGATAGTTCACCCTCTGATTTACTCACCCTCAAGCCATCCTAGGTGTACATGACTTTCTAGGTGTACGTGACTCTCTCGTGAACGCGTGTACGACAGTTAGCGGAAGCTAGAGATTACGGTTTATAAAGGTTTAAATATGGATATTATTCTTGCACAAACGCATTGATTCGCTTCAGAAGCCCCCGGAGCTTGTGGAGCACTTTTTATGACGGAAGAATGCACTTTATTGGACTTCAAAATCTCTAAATTACCATATTTATTTACGAGATGATAACTGTACGCCCCTCGCTGAATTAAACATGCAACATAATGGAGTCATGTAACAACACCGCAGCATACTACTGTCTGATTATTTAACGCTGCATGTCGCATACTATTTCACATGCTATTAAATAATAACAAGTGTTTGGAGTCGATCATTTGTTTTAAAGAAATTAATTATTTTATTCAGCAAAGGTGCATTAAATAAATCAAAAGTGACAGTAAAGACATTTATAATGTTACAAAATATTTCTGTTTCAAATAAACGCTGTACTTTTGAACTTTCTATTCATCAACGGATCCTGAAAGAAATGAACGTATCACAGTTTCCTCAAAAATATGAAGCAGCACAACTGTTTTCAACATTGATAATAATCAGAAATGTTTCTTGAGCAGCAAATCAGCATATTATACTGATTTCTGAAGATCATGTGACACTGAAGACTGGAGGAATGATGCTGAAAATACAGCTGCGCATCACAGACATAAATTATACTTTCAAATTATTTATTTATATTTATATTTCAAATATAAAATTATATTATAATTCCTGTCATTGTTAAATCTACCACAACTCTTACTAGGCATCCACTAATTAGTGAACCAATTAGTATTTTTTCTGATTTTACTTTTAGCTTCAAGTGCAAGTGGATGAATGAATTTTAAATGGAAGAAATTATTTTAGCACACTGTCATTAAGTATTATCATACTATCAGACGTCAGCATGATTCAATCCAATTAAACCAGCACCATCTTGCTGCAATTAGCGTCCCACATTAAGAACAGGAAATGTGTCAACCTGGACCTGACTGTCAATTAGTCTAATTATACAAGGGCATTAGTTCCCACTGACAAGCTGATGTAGTTTTACACATCCCTACTTGCAGGTAGTGCATTAAAATGACAAGGAAGGTCCAAATATCCACAGACACATGAGCTGTACCTGATTTTGGACAGATGTTTGAACTCGAGGCCGGTGCACGATGTCTGTCCGTCCGTCATCTGCAGACGCAGCATTCTGGGCGCCGCCTGCGACTCCTCATGATCTTTAGAAGCGGTGACATTACGAATCTTCTGCACCTGAAGGACACATGGGCCCTCCAACTGCGGCAGAACAAGAGGGATTTCGCATCAAACAGATAAAACTCTCCAATGTAATGCATCAAGCTCATAAACATGTGGGTTTAATTTAGCGTTACAGAGAAACGCAGCTCTCAGAAACCAGATCCCAGTCATTACTCTGCAGTAATGTCACGTCCTTTTGACCAAACAAATGGTCTTTTACCTCTTCACCTCTGCTTTGACTCCATCTCTCTTTATTTCAGCTCTGCTAATGTTCTCTTTAATAACAGCGCCATCTTGTGGGCAGCATTAGCAAGTGCAAAAAGTCTATTTATATTATAATTATGCATTATGTTAGATTTCAGCTTAAACTGGCAAAATCCAGTTTCTAATGATCAACATAAGTCAAGCGGGTTATTTTAATACACAAATGTACCTTTTCTATTCGTCCACTGTTGATGTCCGTCGGCAGAAAGCTCTTTCCTATGGGTCTCAGATCACTCTGTGAATTATATAATGGTATTTATTTGTGTTCGCTTTCTCAGTGTGTAGATGCTACTATGGAAGAGCCCAAACCAAAATATACATGATCACAAATGGACAAAGACATATTACATGAGTAAATAGAAAACGGAAAGGGTAAATATAAAAGGAAACTACTTACGTTTAGTGCTACTTGGATGATGTCAGTCAGTGATGTTTTTTCCTTCTCTGTTGAACTTTTACACTCCTCGATTCCTTCATCTGTAAGGTACCTGTGAAGAAAAGAGCAGGTTTAGAGGAAAAGTGTGTGATTTCAGCCAGGGATTTTCAATATTACACACTAAGAACCCTCAAATATGAGAGGGAAAAAAAGTTACATTTAAAAAGCATATATATAGTTTCTTGTATAAAATAAAAAATGATTTTCACTGTGAAAAAATATTACTATAAATATCTATTATTTGAAAAACATTTAGTTGCTATTAAGTTCTATCATTCCATTTTTCCCTCTTCTCATCACAGTTCTCTACTATTACATGTATTATGTTTAATTATTTAAATCTAAATATTTACTAATTACTTTCATAGTTTACTGATTTCCTTTAAAATATATATATATATATATATATAAATAATTTATTCTAATATTATATATAGATAAAATTTGATTTATTCCAATATTACTTTATTTAAACTTTGCTGTGGCTCTGAATTGATCACTGTCAGTGAAAGTAAATTAAACTGTATCTTTACTACAGCACATAAAGTGACTATCTTTAATATCTGAACATACTTTTATTTCTCCCACTGTCACACTTACTTTTCAGAGATTCACCTTATTTATATAACATTTTCTTTCTAAAAACATGTATTTTGCTTTGTTTTTTGTTCCCTGGCTGCTAACAGTATTTTCTAACTTACCGGGGTGATAATAAGAGCACTACGAAATCTCCTTTGTGGAACAACTCTGAGAGGTGAACAAAACATGCTCTGGAAAATTATGCAAATTAGTGCCACACACACACACACACACACACACACACACACACACACACACACATTAATAATTTAGAATTACCGATAACAGACTAGCAGTTAATAAATGTTGATTATCCTGCTAATGATTTAGCCGCTAACAGCACTAAACATCCCCAAAGCCAAACAGACACAGAAATAAACTAACGAAGAGATATAACTTATATGCAGTTATAAATCAATGTCACAAGTAAAACTCGCTTTTAACTCAGAGCGAGTGAGCGAATGTAAACATGAGCTAGCAGCAGCATGCTAAACACAGTTAGCGGTTAGCACTCAGTAGTGACTCACCAGCCCTCTTTAATGAGCGCTGAGCTCAGATCGCACATCTTCACACACACTGGCGAGTCTGCACGGAATCGCTGTCTGAATTAGCGCTGAAATCCCATCGTGAGTTATTCGGGATTCATTTCTAGCTGGCGCTGCACTGGACAAAGACGGATGACGTCACGCGTAAACTTCCGACGCTTCGCGGGTCAAAGTTGAGCGCCGCTGATGACGTAGCGCGAATTAAATTAATATAACACAAAAGTAAGGACGCTATGATTTGTTATTTGCTACCTTCCAGATCATAAATAGGAAACGCCTTTATACATGCGGTCAACATTTTTTAATATTTAAGCTTTTTTATGTTTTTGAACGTCTCCTCTGGTCACCAACACTGCATTTATTTGATCAAAAATACAGTAAAAGCAGTGAAATATTTTTTACAATTTAAAATACCTGTTTTCTATTTTAATATACTTTAAAATGTAATTTATTTCTGTGATGCGCCGCTGTATTTTCAGCATCATTACTCCAGTCTTCAGTGTCACGTGATCTTCAGAAATCAGTATAATATGCTGATCTGCTGCTCAAGAAACATTTCTGATTATTATCAGTGTTGAAAACAGTTGTGCTGCTTCATATTTTTTGTGGAAACTGTGATTCAAAATATTTAAGTAAGATTTAAAATTATTCAAGGATGCATTAAATCAAGGCTGTAGAGTTTTGTAGAGACGCTATTACATGTCCTTACCAATATCCAGCGACTAATAAATTGCCCCTAGCAATAATTTTGATCTAACAATTAAATATATGTGTATGTAACCACTGCTGTTGTAATTTCGGCCGCATCTGAAATAGGTCACGCCATTGATATTACCTGAGACTTTAAAGAAATAGCCTACACTAAAAGCACATTTAATACATGTGTGGAGTAAGAACATATAAGGGAGCAGAAGTGTTTCAGAAGTGTTTCAGTGGAAAAGAGCCACGCAGGAACAAACAAACCAAATTAATTGAGTGAGTCATTGGAACCGCTCGGATTGATTCAAACTCTCCAATCGATCTTTCAGCTCAAGCGATTCACTAGCAAAAGCCAGATCAAAGGAGTTTTCGAATTTTGATTTTAAAAAGCACGCTTTTACAACGCATATTTTCTGGGATTTGTGATATCACAAATATCGACGAATGGGACGAGACCTGAGCTGCACTAGAGAAGGCAACGAGTGTTATCACTATGTCTGAGACTCACTAGCTTTCCCAAGGCAGACGAACTTAGAGTGTTTACAATCATCCGGGTTTATATCATGCTCAAATTGATTTGATTTTGAGGCAATATTTACTCTGAAGCTCGTAGGCGGCTATGGTAAGACTCATGACATTTCCCGACCAGGCGCCGAGTGCTGCCAATCACAGTACACACTGGCCCAGCTAACCAATCACAGCACGCACTGGCCCAGCTAACCAATCACATATAAATCAATAATAAATAAATCATATCAAGTAAATCAAGTTCATCATATAAATAGTTCATGTCTCTTCAGAAGACTTGGATTAAACCACTCAATGCACATGCATTTATTTTACAATCTCTGTATGAACTTTTTTGAAGCATCAGTTTTGGGTGAATAGACTTTCAGTGGAGGGACAGAAATTATTTGCATCTCGTCAGTAAAGCCGGTTCTGTGATTAGTAGTAAATCTCCAGCACGTGCTTTCAGATGGAGCGGCATTTACTACACAGAGCCGTAGTTCTCTGACAAGCTACGCAATATCGCGTTCATAATCGCAGATGAATCACATAAAAAAAAAATTAAGCTTTTTGAATCACAAAGCACGTTTTAGTGCATTCAGAGAGAGCACGATCCCTGTCCATCATTGCAAATGCGGCAAATAGCCAGGTTACTTCCGTTTACGTTCAAACGGCTTCCTTTAACACTGAAATGTCTTCTGTTTGCACTGAAAAGTTCACCCACATCCACATATGAAATCACTTGTATATATGTATATACACAACTAAAGCATGCATCTTTCTATCAGAATTGAATAAATTTGTGAATGTTATTTTGCATGTATGCGCGAGTGTTTTATGGATCGGTATGCGCGCACCGAGTTTATATTTATGTGCGAGTGTTTATAGGTGTATATGCATGGATCAAGTTTATATGTACTGTATATGTGAGTATGTATGGGTGTGTCTGCATACAGCGAGTTTATATGTATGTGTGTGTTGTTGTAGGTGTATGCATGGATCGAGTTTATACGTATAAGCGAGTGTCTATAGGTGTATGCATGTGTCAAGTATATATGTATACGCAAGTTATTCACAAGTGTATCAGAAGATGTTACTCTAGTTCTAAAATAAATATGAATATGCATGAATTCATCACACTCACAAAAAAAGCACAGATTCAGTATTCCTCAAAATGAATAAAAATATATGACGCAAACCTGCAATAATTAAATGTTAAACAACACAAATATCCTTTATGTATTTAATCCCATTCTATTAACCAATGTCTTTGCTTCTGACCTTCGATGATCCAGTTCAACCGTAATAATAAGCACAAATTACTCTAGACAAACATTTGTGTGTCTTTGTTTATTGCTGAAGTGTGTTGAAATGTCTTCTTCTGCATTCTACTGTACGGACGTAAATTTACTTTCCCTTCAGCCTGAGGCTTATTCATTTCACTTTTGGTGTGAAAAGGCTTTTATATTTGCCAAAAATAAAACTTTTTAAATTTAAAAACAAACAAGCAAGCCCGGTCCAGATTTAAAAAGTAATGCAAAAGTAACGTAACGTATTACTTTCCATAAAAAGTAACTAAGTAACGTAATTAGTTACTTTTTTAATGAAGTAACACAATATTGTAATGCATTATTTTTAAAAGTAACTTTCCCAACACTGGCCCCTCATATTATGAGTGGTTTTACTTTGAAGTTCCTTTGTATCCTGTAAAAATGTCAACCTATCTTGCATGTATCCCAGCATTTGATGCTGACTACTATATGTTTACATTGAAAAACAATTAAAAAGCAGCAGTGCTTAAGTTTTCTTATTCTTACGCAGCATATCCAGACATTGCATGTGCTGTGATGGACTCTTAAAAATAAAGGTTAATGGTTCCATGAAGAACCTTTAACATCCATGGAACCTTTCAAATGGAAAAAGGTTCTTTAGATGATTAAAATGTTCTTTAAACTAAGAAAAAAATGCTGCTTTTCAGAACTGTTCACTGGAAGGTTCTTTAGGGAACCAAAAAAGAATGGTTGTTCTGTGACACACCTTTTGAAAACGTTATTTTTAAGGGGCGTTTACATGACACATTTTTCAACTAAAAAATTAAAACCTTTTTATAGCCGTTCATTTACACGACAAGTGTTTTGGGGGTCTGAAAATTGGTTTCAAAGTGCAAGTTTTTGAAAATGATACCGTTATCATCTCCACGTAAACTACAAAAATGTGATTTTGTGAAAACGGTGGCATCATGCGCATGTGCAACTTGACAACCAAAACAACAACGACAGACTACAGGACCGTATGTGTGCAGGTGTGTAGTGTTTCTTTACAAAGTCACATCACCAGCTACTGGCCTGGCATAATACAGGAATAATTTTGACAACATTCTCGTCTGTATGCAAAACTTTTCCTGCTTCTAGCACATCATTGTCACGTTAACAGAGGAGAAGTGTGTAGAGAATAAATGGATGGATGTTCACCGTGGCATCAAAATGCTAATTTACTGGTAATGTTACAACTTCTCATCCCAGAAAACTGAAAGGACTGATTAAAACTGTAATTTACTGGTAATGTTCCAGAAATCCCCTAATGACACAGAGAGACTAAACACCCACACCTTGAGCCTGGGAATCAAAGCAAACACTGAAGTTTCGAGATGATCTGGCCCTTTCAAGGAAATCCTCTTTCAAGTAAGGAAGAGTGTGTGACTTCGGCAAACACACACACTACACTAAAAAAGAAAGAACCTTGCCTGGAAAGGTTTCATGGATGTTGGAATAACATTTTCTTCACGGAACCATTGATGCAAAAAAAATCTTAGTTTTTAAGTGTATTGTGATATATTTTTGTTAAGGGATGATCAAACTAGACTAGTATTTTTTGGACAGGATATTATGTTATGCTCTAGGGCTTCTGTTTTAAAAAGTAACAGGACATATTATAACAAATAATACAAGTCATAGTTTATGTGTTTATCATACACCACTTCCATTTGTACAATTCTTTTAAGTGACAATGGGCTCCACATGGGATCAAAAGTGATCAAGGGGCGTGGGCTGTTCCAATCACACCTACTGTGGGACTTCTCGTTTTTGGCTTTCACTTTCAGTTGATGTTGTATATATAGGGAACAGGGGTACTGACTGAGACACAACGACACTCTACCAAAGACTTATTGAGATTGAGAACTTGTGACACACTAAAATGTCTAAAAAACTACAATTAAGCCGCCATGGACATGATGAAAATGGTAAGTGCATTTTAATATAAAGCTTGTTGTTTTTCTACACATTTGTGTCTATTTGCGCTGCATTAAAGCTCATTTGTTTTATTTGCAGATGAAGACTATACCACTACCAAACATTTCCACCATGGAGATGACGAAAATGGTAAGCGTATTGGGATAGTTGGTCTGTATTCACTAACACTGACTTTGCATAAACGCTACATTTTAGCGTTATTTGTTAATTTATGTATTTAATTTAGTGTATTTATGTACTTCTTAATTTTCTCAAAGTAGTTTTTTATATGTTTCTAAATATTCCCAAACACTGAATAAAATAGGTCAAATATGGGTCTTTATTAAATGAAAAATATATTATATATTAAGTAAAAATATAGTATTACTAACACACTATGAAGCTGTAGGCAAACCCAATCTCAATCACACCAAATACAGAAATACTAGCTTGCAAGGTTGAGTAAAACCAACTTGTCACATTTACAATGTTCAGCTCAAAACGGCATACATTTATATAAAGCTTTTCTAAACATCTGTGTCTGTTTCCACTGCATTATAGCTCATCTGTTTCTTTTGCAGATGAAGAATCTTCTTCTACCAAACAGTGGCAAAACGGTGACATTAATAAAATCGCAAAGGCTACTATAAAAAACTCAAAAGCTCAAGATACAACATCTATAATTGGCATGACTGACACATTTGACAG